AAACCTCAGGGTTCCATTGGATGTTGCCATGGCAGTTAACATGGAATCATTGTGATATAAATGTATACCATAACAGGGCCCCCAGCTATGGTTTTGCAGCTAGTCTTTCCCCTTTTTTCCTGACCAAGAACAGACAAGGGAAATGACTGGACTTTTGCCTGTACATCTCCAGGTGGACAGTGCCTCTGCTGTGCTGGTATTGCTCCCCTTTTCCAAGATGCCAGAATATATATTCAAAAGATGTCAGCTTCAGTTACATAATGGTCCCACTGAAAAGGAATCAGTTGAGTCACGTCTTGACAGGCACTGAGATTCTTAGGAAATGAAACCTTCGCATTTAAAACTGTTAAAACTTGTTAAAACTGGACTTGCCACTTCATGTCCATACACATAGGATTTTGAATTTGAATTAACGTTCTCACACACTAATGGCATATACAGGTCTTTCCCTAGCTTTCCACTTCACCAGATACATCTGGGGAAGTAGACTGAAGTCTACGAAAGCTCATGCTACCAACTTCTTTCTTTAAAAGTGGGGCTACAAGATTTCTCTACATACAGAACTCAGATGGTTACTTGTTTGGACAATAACTATCAGGATTCGCCAGGATGGGAATATAGGAGCTGTAGTCCAAGTAAGAGAGGCAGTATGGTTTAATGGTTGGAGTATTGGACTAGGACTCTGCAGGCCAGAGTTTGAATCCCACTCAATCATGGAAACCACATGGTGACCTTGGGCAAGTCACACACTCTCTCAGCCAAAAACAGAACAATGGCAAATCTCCTCTGAATAAATCATGCTGAGAAAACCCCATGATAGGTTTGCCTTAGGGTTGCAACATCTTGAAGGCACACAATATGGAGAACAGACAATGGTTTGCCTAAACTGTTTTGCAACAGGGAACATTTCTAATTCTCCCCCATCCCAGCATTTCCAAAGCCTGGAAAGTTACCTTTTAGCAGCCATTTCTTCCTTTTTACTTGTCACACTTTTGCTCATCACAATGATGAAAAAGAAACTCATTATGCTTTTTGTTTCACTGCTTGTAAGTTTTCCGTAGACTTACAATGTAATTTTACACGTTGTAAAGAGATGGGACTTGGAATTGGTAAGAGAATGAATGGAATACAGCTTGAAAAATTGGAGGCCCAAATGCCTCTAAGAATGCCCTTTTAACTTAACTATTGAAAATAACTAGAAACCACTACTTCTTGCACCAGCAATTGCATGCACTTCTTCTTCTCCAAATGTGATACTACTTTTGCAGAGGGTGCAAATATTGATCAAACACTTCCTAGGTGTGTGGGGCATAGAAAAGGTTGGGAACCACTGTTCTAGATAAAGTTTCCCACTGTTTGTTTGTCCACTTGTCACACAAAACCAATCTCAGCTTCTGGGTCCACACACACAAAATCACTTTGTCATGAAGTGTGACTTGCCCAAACACAGAATGCAGTGGCCATTCAGACCACAAACCACAGAATTCCCCAGCCAGCGCAGCCACTGTGTTCCATTGTCCTGGAAGCATTTTGAAATGCTCCAGAAGTTTGCGACAGAATAAGGCTGAGAACTATATGGCCCTCTGCATGTTGTTGGAGTGCAGCTCCCAGCAGCCTTGGAGAGGAAGGCTGGGAACTGCAGTTTGACAACTTCTGGAAGGAGTCAGAATTCCCACCCTTGTTACCAGAGTTCTTAAGATGCTTTCTGCAGAGGTGCATTAAATTACACATGGAATGACAAAGTAGAAAGAGAACAACTATTTAACTGAAGCCCATCTCCCAATAAAAACTAGAAGCCAATGGGATAGTCAACAGGTGCTGAATGGGGTTCATCAACTGATGAGAGAGATTAATGCCAAATAAAATAAGTCATGCAGCACGCAGTTAAACTGCGGAGGTCACTGCCACAAAATGAAGTGATGGCTTCCAACTTGGTAGGCTTTAAAAGAGGAAAGGATAAAGCCATTGAGGAAGATGAGGCCATCACTGGCTATGAGTCAGGACAGCCACATATCACTTCTAGTTATTGGAGGCAGTGTGCCTCTCTGTGTATCGGCTACTGGAGGGAACAAGATGGAGGAATCACAGAATCA